CCCTTTTGGAAGTTTCTGTCTGGCTGACTGTCTCTCTCTGAAGAAATAAATAAACTTTAAAAAAAAAAAAAAAGCCCTGTCACTTCTGCACAAAAGTGAAGCTGACATTGGACCTTTTTCCCTACTACAATAGTTTATTACTGGTTAAAACCTGTCCTTACCATTTTAAGTAGGGTTTGGCATTGTTTTATTTTTCACCGGGAGGCGAGAGAGGTTTCTCTTCGGCATCACAAAAGCCAGTGGGTACTGAGCTGGGCCCTGAGCTAGTAACACTGGGAACTCTTCCCAACTGTTCTGCCACTACGAAAGCAGATGTTCCCGTTATTCCTACTTTCCAGGAGAAGAAATCGAGCCAGGGACTATCCACAGTTAGCCCCAAGTCGCATCGGTATTAGACGCTGACAGTAGAACTCGTTTCTCATGCTAGCGCCTGAACCCTAGCAGTACCCCCTCCAGGATGTGGCTCCACCAGGCGGCGAGAGCAGGGTGGGAGTAAAGCAGGCCTAGAAGACAGGTGAGAGCAGAGCAAAGGCCCTAGGTGCACAGCCTGCCAGGCTGCTCGCACTCACCAGCAGGAAGCCCGCACAGTCCTGGACTTGATTGTGGCTCAGGTTCAGGAAGCGCAGGGCTGACAAGAGATGCTGAGGGGGTGGGAAGGGGAGGCAGAGGCTCAGTCTTCACATAAGGACACCCCATCAGTCAAAGACCTGTCTCTACCCTTCACCAAAACCCTGTTCCCTCTGAGGCACTCACCAGGGATCTGTCTAAAGCGGTCAACGCGTTGTAGCTGAAGTCAGCAGAAAGCAGAGCCAGCCAGGGCAAGGCAGAGCAGAGGTCTCCACCGCAGGCTGAGAGGAGCTCCTGAGTGGGTGGGTGGGTGCTTCATTACCCAATTCTCACCATACTCCCCACACTAAGGCCACACTCTAGCACTCAACCATTCTTTTCTTTCTATCTATCTATCTATCTATCTATCTATCTATCTATCTATCTATTTATTTTGCCTGACAGCACATACACTCACCAAAGAGAGAAAGAGAGGGAAAGGGAGAGGAAGAAAGCACCCCCAATGGGGCACGGTCACACTGTAATCTTTTCTCCTCTACCTCTCCTATGTGTCAGGATCTGGAGCATGCATACACATGTACCATGTGTGTTTTTCAAGTTTTCAGGGCCAGGATTAAAACACAGGTTGTCCATGTGGGCTTCAACTCCCTAAACAACTAGGCTACAGGATCAGCCTCACTCATTATTTATATACTGGGCTCTATCTGGAGATGTAGATTTAAAGAAAGTGCAAGGCCCTGTCCCCAAGGAGTTCACTGTAGGAAGGAAAAACTGGAAGATGGAATATAATATTGGCATGGTTTAAATATATCCTCCCAAAACTCATGTGTTGAAATTTGGATGTGACAGTATTAACAGGGTGGAAATTTAAACCAACTATGGGAAAGAGGAAGTAGGTACTTTTTTTTTTTTGGAGAGGTTTTCGCTACAGGGCGCGTGCGCTTGCCAGAAAGACAGAGAGAGAGAGACAGAAAGCAAGAAATCACCCCCCAGGGTGATGGTCACGCCGCAATCCCTTCTCCTCCATTCTCCTCTCGGGATCTTGGGCACGCACGCACACGCGCCCGGCGTGAGTTTTAAGCCACCAGGTCCGGGATGCGAACCGCAGTCGACTACGTGGGAGTCCAGTGACATAGCCATTATGCTAACTGCTGGTTCCCAGGAAGTAGGTACTTTGAGAGGTGATTAGGATGTGAAAAGGTCATTGGGTTGCAGCCCCTATGTTTAAATACTGGTACACTGGGACCAGCAGTTGGAGTAATAGCTATGTCAGTGGACTCCCATGTAGTCAACTGGAGTTTGAGTCCCAGAACCAGTGGCTTAAATTCACACTAGGCGCATGTGTGTGTGTGCCCAAGATCCTGAGAAGAGAATGGAAGAGAAGGGATTGTAGTGTGGTCATTCCCCCTTGGGGGGTGATTTCTTGCTTTCTGTCTCTCTGTCTCTCTCTGTCTTTCTGGTGAGTGCATGTGCACTATAGCAAAAACCTAAAAAGAAATAATAATAATAATAAATTAAAAATACTGGTGCATTTATTTTAAAAAGGCAGTAAGCCAGAGTGAAGACACAGACAGATATGTGCACTCTTGCTGCCTCACCATGTGATTCCCTGTACCACCTCATGACTCTGCAGGGAGTCCCCACCAACAAAAAGAGCTTCACCAGCTACAGGCCCTTCATCCTAGACCTCTAAAACTATGAGGTAAATAAACCTCTATTCTTTGTAAGTTACCTAGACTTGGGTATTTCTGTTATTAGCAACAGAGAACAAACTAAAACAAGTAGGAGATGTGATAGTAAATACGTAGACAGGTACAGTGTGCTATGGGAGCACAGGGGAGGGAAAGGCCACTGTCTGGAGGGAAGCAAGAGTCAGGAAAGGCTATAGAGAAGAGATAAATTGGCCTGGTCCTCCATGTCTCTCAGGACAAGGCATCTGGGCCCACCCCTAGCCCTCTCACCTCCAATGCCTGGATGCTCCTGCTGCAAATCAAGGTCTCTAACTGGGAGTAGATGCTACGGAGGCCACGCAGGCAGTGAAGGGGGACACCTCGGAGCTGAAGCAAGGGAAGAAAAGGAGGAGAGAAAAGCAGAACTTCACGCAGTCAGAAGACAATGACCTCATCTCCTCCTCCGCTGATGGGGAGGGTAGAGAGGACAAAGCCAAGTATAATCAAGGAATGTTAAATGGAAATGAGAATGGATACCTAGTTACTGCAGTACATTCAGACCTGCCCACCCTGCAAAAAAACCACCTTTCTTTCTTTCCCCACCCGCAAGTGGCTGCTTCAAGTTGGGTTTTGTGAACCAACATCCCCAGATGCCCACATACCTCCAGGTGTCGGAGGGACTTGAAGGGAAAAATATTGATGGGCCCTGGGAGGCCAGAACCAGGAACATGGACCAGCTAATAGAAAAACATTCAGGTTACTGAGGCACAGCAGAGCTCCCTTTCCCAGCGTCCCTTCCTTAGCACAACCATCCCTATTTCTGACATCAGCTGTAACAGACCTTGGCCCTGCAGATCTCTTGTAACCCTACCCCCTCCCCAAGCCTCCATCATCTTCCTGATATACACATTCTGCTTCATTCCCACCACCAGACCTTGAGGGAGACTGTTTTCTGCAGCACGTCGAAGAGGAACTGAAGCTGGAGGATGATAGGAGAGTCAGCAGGGTGGGAGGGCAGAGCCACAAAGCCTGTCTGGCCAGGGCCCCATGGCCCCAGGTGCAGCTCAAACACATGGTTCAGCTGCTGCAATGTGGCAGTGGGCAGGCTCAGTGTGCTACAGCCAGATAGGACCACGTCCCCTGCAAGGAAAGGGGCAGACAGCAAGGAGGACATAAAAAAAAAAAAAAGGGTCTTTCCCTTTATTCTAAGATGTTATGACCCCAGAGTACACACACACTCCAATCCATATTGTAGATCTTCCAAAGCATGATCAAACTTTCTATCTCCTTCCCAACTCAGAAGTCTTCAATGGCTTCTCCATCTCAAAAAAAAAAAAAAAGTCCTAGGGCTTTCACATGATACATGAGACTGCTTCATTACACAACTCCACAACTCCAATGGACTTTTCCAGGTCTTCCTCCTGGTCTAAAGAGCCAGAGGTACTAACGGCTCTGGAAATACAGCTAGCTTGGTTCATAGCTCTCTTTTTGACACATCCTCTTGCACTGCCTAGCTAGAGACCAACCTTTTCCAGGAAACCTTCTCAGTAAGTCATATTGCTGAACTTTCAGAGCTGATGAGATGTTTTATCTTTATTTCTTTTTTTGACTATGAAAGTAATATGCACATTTACAGAATACTAAAACGCATGTTCTAGAAAAAATAACCACTCATTACAGCACTAAGGTACTATTATTAACACTTCTCTCTCTAGTGAGACTGTCTTCTTGAGGGCATCTTTTGGTCACCTTGGAATTCATCACTGCACCTAAAAAAGTGTAGCTACGGGAACCAGCAGTTAGCATAATGGCTATGTCGCTGAACTCCCACGTAGTTGAACACGGTTCGCGTCCCGGACCCCGTGGCTTAAAACTCACGCCAGGCACGTGTGCGTGCGTGCCCAAGATCCCGAGAGGAGAATGGAGGAGAAGGGATTGTGGCGTGACCATCCCCCGTGGGGGGTGATTTCTCACTTTCTGTCTCTATGTCTCTCTCTGTCTTTCTGGCGAGCGCACGCGTCCTATAGCAAAAACCTCTCAAAAAAACAAAACAAAAAAGTGTAGCTACAAACTAAACATGGAGAGATTTTTTTTTAACTTGTTAATTTTTAATAAGGAAAGCATCAAAGATGTTGCAGAAATAGCATGGAGAGGCCCCCCTATTCCTTCACCCTGCTTCTCCTGATTATATTTTAAATAACTATTGTACAATATCAAAATCAGGATATTGTATGATAGTTATTTAAAATAGGAGAAGCTGAGTAAGGGACTAGATTCCCGTGAGGCAGACTATGGTTAGAACCCCAGATCTGGCAACTTGCTTTCTCACTTTTTCTCTCTCCCTGTGTGTCTCTCTCTGCCTCTCTCTCTCTCTCTGGTGAGTGTGGGTGCCCTGTAGCAAATTTTAAAATAATAATGATGATAAATAAAATCAAATAATTCTTTAAAAAAAAGAAAACAGGAAACTGATGGGACAATGTACATACGTAGTTCTAGTTTGTACAGACTGCTGTGACCACCACCACAACCAAGATACAAAACCATTCCATCACCACAAAGATCTCTCTCCTGCTACCTCTTCAAAGTCACACACTCACACACACCCCTGGCATCCATAAGCCCTGGAGCTTTATCAGATTTTTGCTGAATCAACTAACAAATCCTACAACTTTGCAAGAAGGGTTTTCTATGTACTAGACACTAAGAATAGATAAAGACATGGTTCGAGGACTCTTTTCACCCTCAACAAGCCTCCCAGTCTAGAAGACTTAAAACAGTTATTAATACAAGGCAGAAAATAAACCTGCTCTACAAAGAGATTCCACAGATCTCAGCAATGGAAGTCCAGGGATAGAAGGCAGCTAACATTAACTGGATAACACACCAGGCAACTTTGTTACCTCATTTAAACCTTCTCAGAATCTCCTAAAAAGAAGCACCATCAACGCCTTCTTTCCGATATAAAAATTGAGACCCAAAGAATCTTGATTGAGATCATATAGCCTGCGAAAAAATAGCTGTTCCTTCTTTCTAGAGATAGGTTTGCTATGTTGGCCTGGCTGGCCTTGAACTAGCAATCTTCCTGACTTAGCCTCCTAAGTAGCTGGGATAAAGGCACTGCACCAACACACCAGGCTGGAAGTCACTACTTCTGTCTGATCAAAACTAAGGCCTCTTCTACCACAACTAAGATGCCAACTTGGTATAGAACTACTACTCTGGCTCCACCATGCCCAGGCACTAAGGAAAGCACTTATAATAGCAATAGCTACCAATTTTGAGCACTTACTATTAATATATGTGCTAACACTGTACTAAATACACGAATTAAAATTAATCCCTACAACCACCTTGGAGTAAATACAATCATTATGCGCTTCTGCTGGTGAAGAAAACTCAGTTTTAGAAGTCTTGATTTTGCCAAGTTTGAAAAGAGAGTTGAGATGCCAACCCAGGTGATCTCACTCCAAATCTCGAGTTTCTCACTTAGTGCCTTGCAATATACAACACCAGCAGTCAGTCTCCGCTCTGGAGGGCCTTAGAGTCTTAGATCGCTTCCCTCTGAGAGTATCGGAGAACGAATGGAGAAAGTAACACTGGAGCTTGGGCCCGTGTATTTAGTACAGTGTTAGCACATATATTAATAGCCAGGGTTTGACGTTCAAAGACAAAGGACACAGGACGCAACCGCACCGGAGCGAACAAAGCACCGGGAGAGCAAACTGACATCTCGTGACATTCATAACTCTTAGGGCGTGTCTCCGGAAGGTAGGGGGCACCCGATCTCATCCCCAGCCCAACTCAACCGGAAGTTCACTCACCGGACTCCCGCAGCAGACCAGCAAGCTTCCACACCAGGGAATCCCGCGGAGCGGTCGTCATGGCCACGAGACGCCGGGGGCGGAGCCTGGGAAAAGAGGAAGCGGAAGAACTTCAGGGGGGCAGTAGAGCCAAACCCCAGAGCGTCTGCGCATAGAAAACAGCAGGAGTGAGCGGAGAGGAAGGACGTACTCCAGGCTGCCTTTTTAGCGGACATAAGGCCTGGTCAACCAGACCGATCCTCCCGTCGGGCCCTCCTACCTGCTCTGCGGCCCTGCGCCTATCAGTGATGGACAGGAAGTCCCGCCCCGGAAGGGACGACCGGAAAGTCTTCCTCGGCTGTCGGAAGCCACGCCCCGAGTCTTGCTCACGTGCTGGGCGGGCTGTTCCGGGCGGGGCGGTGCATCCTCGGTCCTGGCTGCCGGAGCGGTACGCGGCCCCCGAGCTGGGCCTCAGCGCTCGCTCCGGCTTAGCCTGGGACCCCAGCGTAGCTCAGGGCTGGCCGTGCGAGCCTGTGAGGAAAATCTCACATGTCTGCGGCCTGGGCGGGGTAGCAAAGTTTGGAGAAGTGGAATTTTCTTTTAGGAAAAACTCGTCTAAAACGAATACTCGCTCTCCAATCCAAGGAGAACGAGTTCGCCCTAGGAAAGAGCTGAGGCTGGCGGGGTGCCAACTGGGCTCCCTTTGTCGCCTTTTCCTTAGTCTCTCTCCAAACGTTTTTATTTCCCCTCTCAGGCTCTCACGTTAGCCATTGGGAAGGTTTTGTTTTTACTGCTTCGGGTCATAGCACCCGAATTGAAGAGTTGTTATTCCAGCTTTGAAAATGAGAAGCTGGTTCACAGAACCTGGCTTACTTTTGAAGGTCGTTTAATCAGTAACCCGGAGCGCGAAATCTGCAAAGTTTCTTGCTTCCAAGTTTCTATAGTAGTTTTAACCAGCTCCTGGTCAAATGTTGACGTCAACTGCTCAACTAGTAAGGAAAAATGTCTTTTAATTAACCGAATTTCTGGTTTTCAGTAAATTTTCTTTCGTGAGGTCCCCGTTTTCTGCAGAAGGAAGTCTAAATGAATCTTAAGCCAGTCTGGAGTGGGAGTGGGGTCATAGTCTTTATCCCACATTGCCGGATTTGGAGAATCTTATTTTCTAAAAGCAAAATATTTGAAATGGCAATATATGCCCCTCAACCACACAGTTTAGCATTAATGACAAATTGTGATCTTAGCCTAAAGATTAAAAAGTAAATGAAAGTGGGGACCAGTGGTTAGCGTAATGGCTATGTCCCTGGACTCCCATGTAGTGGACCACGGTTCGAGTCCCGGACCTGAGCTTAAACTCACGCCAGGCATGTGTGCGTGTGTGCCCAAGATCCCGAGAGGAGAATGGAGGAGAAGGGATTGCGGCGTGGCCATCCCCCCTGGGGGGTGATTTCTCCCTTTCTATCTCTCTGTCTCTCTCTGGTTTTCTGGAGAGCACACACGCCTATAGCAAAAACCTCTCCAAAAAAAAAAAAAAGTAAATGAAAGTGGAAGTCATGTGATAGCGAAGCAGTATACAAGTATGAGTACGGATTCATTTTATTTCTCAGGAATTATTCCATAACCTGATGATTTTCAGTTCCTATTGATCAGTCACCTAAAACCAGGGAGGATGGCTTTGACTGTACTGTAACTGCCAACTCCACCTCCCTCTCGGGCAAGAAACAATCTTGTGTCATTCCCAATATTGCCACACCATGAAAATGGTTTCAGTGTTGCCTCTCAGACCCATAGTTATTTTCTGAAAGTTGCTCTGTGTGGGAAGCGCCTGTAGCCAGATTTGTTCTATGTTGCCTTCCCGGAAATTTGAAAGTGGAACAAAAGGAGAAGCAACCCTGGACTCCCATGTAGTGGACCACGGTTCGAGTCCCGGACCTGAGCTTAAACTCACGCCAGGCATGTGTGCGTGTGTGCCCAAGATCCCGAGAGGAGAATGGAGGAGAAGGGATTGCGGCGTGGCCATCCCCCCTGGGGGGTGATTTCTCCCTTTCTATCTCTCTGTCTCTCTCTGGTTTTCTGGAGAGCACACACGCCTATAGCAAAAACCTCTCCAAAAAAAAAAAAAAGTAAATGAAAGTGGAAGTACATGTGATAGCGAAGCAGTATACAAGTATGAGTACGGATTCATTTTATTTCTCAGGAATTATTCCATAACCTGATGATTTTCAGTTCCTATTGATCAGTCACCTAAAACCAGGGAGGATGGCTTTGACTGTACTGTAACTGCCAACTCCACCTCCCTCTCGGGCAAGAAACAATCTTGTGTCATTCCCAATATTGCCACACCATGAAAATGGTTTCAGTGTTGCCTCTCAGACCCATAGTTATTTTCTGAAAGTTGCTCTGTGTGGGAAGCGCCTGTAGCCAGATTTGTTCTATGTTGCCTTCCCGGAAATTTGAAAGTGGAACAAAAGGAGAAGCAAAGAAAACTAAACTACAGAGAAAGGAAAAAAAAAAAATCTAGGCGATGTAGCAACAAGAAACATTCTGTTTCCACCTCCCTTAGGAGGCCCACTCCCCTCTCTGCCCTTGACTTCCAGGGACGGTCTTGGCTCCTGTCCAAACAATTCTCCCCAGCCCTTTGTTTCTTTAAGTTGGTTCCAGTGTATTTCTGTAAACCACTGCTATAAGAACCTTGACTAAAACAAAATCTCTAAAAATAAGTAAAGACCAAAAGTGGGGAATCCATTCACCATCGCAGCCACAAAGATAGAGACTTACAGAGAACATTATGAGAAATATGCCAGGTCTATATGAAAATGCAATTGAACTTAAGGATATTAAAAAATGACTTAATATCATTCATTTAATGACAAGCTATCATAGTCTTTGTGGGTAGGTTCATTATTATAATTACGTCAATTTAATGGTATTTCAACCAAAATCCCAATGGGAAGATTTTGGAATTTGACAAGTTGATTCCAGAATCTATCTGGAAGACTAAACACATGAGCACAGCCAAGAAATTTTGAGGTAAAAAAGCAAGAGCTCTAATAGTGGCCTTGCCTTACCAGATAGCAAAGTGCCCGATAGTCACAGTAACCAGACCAGCATGGTCCTGACAAAGAGAAAGACAAATATTGATAATCAGTGTAACACATTACAGAAACAACCGTGATTATATGGGAGGTTTTCTTTCTAGAATTATTTAATTTTCTTCATTGTCATTATTTTTTTTTTTTTTTGAAGTTGACCAGAGAGAGACAGAGAGAAGAAAAGTGAGAAAGTAAACTACCAGGTCCAGGACTTGAACCATGGTCAGCTATGTGGAAGTCCAGCCACCTTAACTACCATGCCACCTGCCGGTCCCTATATGGGAGTTTTTGTTTTTGTTTTTGTTTTAATACTATACATGATAAAATTGACTTTACATTAATGAGATAAATGATGAGTTACTGAATAGTTTTGAAACATCTAGCTGTCCCTCTGGAAAAAGCTAAATTCCTGCTCTTATATCTGCATATTAGATTCCAGAAGGATTAAACAGCTACATTTTTGTTTGTTTGTTTCATTTTGGTTTTGGTTTTTGTTTTATTTTTGTTTTTTGGAGAGGTTCTTGCCTTAGATTATGTGTGCTTGTGGGTGAGAGACAGACAGATAGAGACAATGAGAGAAAAAGTGAGAAGTCACCTCCCTCCCAGCAGCATGGCCACACAGCAATACCTTCTCCATTTTCCTGGGATCTTGGGCACGCACACGCATGCGCCCAGAGTGATTTTTGAAGCCACCGGGCCCAGGACTTGAACCTCTGTCAGCCATGTGAGGGCCCAGCAACATAACCACTACACTATCTGCTGGCCCTAAGCTGTACATTTTTTTTAAAGAATTATTCTATTTTAACTTTATTTATTATTATTATCATTATTATTTTCCAGTTTGATCAGAGAGAGACAGAGAGAGAGGAAGTGAGAAAGCAAGCCACCAGGTTTGAGACTTGAACCGTGGTCGACCATGTGGGAGTCCAGCGCCTTTAACCACCATGCCACTTGCTGGCCCCTAAGCTATACATTTTTTAAAAGGTTAACTCTAAGTTCTCTTTAAAATTTGAGGTTCAAATTCATTTTTAAAAGAATCATTATGGGGCCAGCAGGTGGCCTGGTGGTTAAGAATGCTGGACTTGGCTGGCCGTGGTTTGAGTCCCAGACCTGGCAGCTTGCTTTCTCGCTTTCCCTTTCTCTCTTTCTCTCTCTCTCTCTCACTCTGTCCCGCTCTGGTCAAGGAACCACAGTAGTTGTTCATACTTGGGTTGGGAGTGAGGGGAGTGCAGTTGGATGATCTATGTGTTTTAACAACTTGTATCTTCATGGAGTAGAAAAGGGAGACAGATAGAAGACCCTCTAAAAATAGCATTCTGGTGAAAATGTCTGTACAGGAGAGAAGTCCATGTAGCCAGCACTCGAAGCCCAAGGATTAAGCCTAGTCACCATTACACACATAGGATAGATTGTCAGCGTGGAGGAGGTCTGTATAATTCTGCATTAGATCAAGACCCAACAAGCTCACCAGAGCCTGGATCCAGGAGACATGGAACTTGAGGTGTACAGGAGGAAAGCAGGGCAGAAACCAAACTCAACTGGGCATCAGGCTGGAGCCAGAGAATGGCTGACTGGAAAAGAAGCAACAAAATACCCATGGTCCAGTGACGCAGCAGCAGCTCTGGGCAGCCTGAAAGGGCTTTGCAATTCTGCACAAAATGAACTGAGGGATTCCATGAGTGGTTTTACAGAAAACCCGAGGTGACCTGGAGTGCCTTTAATTCTTTTCATTCTCTGTCCTGAAAACCCACAGAATCATCTGGGGAGGGGCTATGAAGGGCTATAAGAACCGTCAGGACTTAATTCAGGACACAGAAAGACGAAAGGAAAGATGAAGACCGCACTATCCATTCCAGTGGGTCTGATAAGAGCTGAAGCTTGGTAGGAAATAGGGGTAAAGGCAGCTGTGAAGGAGAAAGGAAAACAGAATCAAGTAGGCAAGAAAAGACACTATGTCAGACATACCCCATAGAAGGCCTGTTGGTAAAGTCGGGAGCGTTTATTCCATGGGTCTTTCACCTCAGTCCTCCCTCCATGCAGGGCCAAGAGAGGATGGGAATGGTCCGTAGTAAAGGATGAAGTTGCAGATGGAATAGCAGTAAGATCTACAATGCGAAACATGGGTCACTGGGAAGAAGAAAGAAGAGAAAGGTGAGATCACAGGGTTTAGGGGCTCCTCTACGGCTGGGGGCTAGGGAGAAGTGGAGGTTGCTTTGAAATCTCAGAGCCTTTGTAGAACCAGAACCACAAAGTTAGAGCAGTCTTTCGTTCTTCTATTCA